CATCCCGAGACCCCAGTGCTGGCCTTAACACAATTCTAGGAACAAGACAATGTTTTTTTCACCTTGATCTAACCCAAAAGTCAAGATTGCTAGTGTTAATTTGTCCTCCATGTATCAGTGTTTGCAAGATCTACGAAATGAAGCCAAATCAAAAGTACTGTAGAAGATTGACTGAGTAGCCATCAGAGAAGACTGTCTTGCAAGCTTGTATTGACTGAATCATGATTTGAATCAAGCTGATCTAGAACTATTCATGCAGCCAAGAGTGTAATGAGGTTGCTGGGGTTGGTGTGTCATTGGTAATAGTTGTTGGCCAAAGACGCTACCTGAAGTGCAAAGAAAAATTTAAGTAGGCCAAGATGTGGCAGAGGGTGGAGGTGGGAATTTTGGATGGAGAAGGAAAGATGAGGGGTGGGCAGGTGTATGTGTTTGGGTCTGAAACCTGAGCTCAGAACCCAGTACAGCAGGGAACCCCTGTTTACCGCCAAGAATTCAACTGGGTGTACTGGTGTAAAACTCATAAATCAACAAGGATCATACAGAGCATAGAGGAACAAGGGGAACAACAAAACCCAAATCCTCCATTTGTGATATATCAAACCAACAAAAACCAACAAAACCGTCAAGAACCAACAAGTATCCATCTAATGTAACCTTATGATGTCATTATTATTATTATTTGCCGTTATTAAAGCTGTGAAATTGATCAATTGATGTTAATAAATGATGAACAGATCCTCTTATGATGAATACAGGTGATTTTTTCCTAATATTCATAGCTGAAACCCATTTTTAGAATTACAGGTTGTTTGTAAAGCTGTCCAATTTTGGATTACTATAGCTCATTTTATAGCCCTCTTGATACTGATCATTTATTGCCCCTATATAAAATATTTCTGATGTGTGATGAATAAGTCATTGAGTTGTATTACTTTTGCTAAAAAGTTTGGCCCGATCGAGAAAAAATAAAACAGAATGTAGACCCAGAATCCGCCGCAGCAGTCACAACGCAGCAGAGAGAAAATTTTTGGGGTGCTGTGGGCTGTGGTGTGAGCACCCATCCATCCCATCAATTTCCCAGCTGCCGCCAAAAAAATTCATATTCTCCAAATCCCGGTCGATCGCTTCCTTTTTTTCACTAAATTCAACTACGACACTCACTGCTTCTCGCATCCTGGAAACGTGTGCATCCATGGTGGACAATCAATTGATGATCTCTGTAAGAAAAAAGGTACACTTTATCACTTCAATTCCTCCCAATTCTCTCTTCGGAGCAATTCATTCAACTTACTGATTATCCCCAATATAATCTCTAGGTATCCTTCTCCCATACTTACCACCATACCGTCCCGAGTTGAACACTATCAAGTTTGGAGTCAATGTGCTGTACTTTGGTGTTCGGAGATCATAAGTTTTAGTCACTAGGTCAAATCCGGTCGAACGGATCATCTGTTGTGTGAAAGTTTTTACATGATTCCTCTTATGTTGATAACGAGCATTTTTTAAAAAATGAAATTAAGGAATGTTGTTGAAGCTTTTATGAAGCTCACAACTACTGTGCTCATCCAAAAAAAGGGCAAGTTGAATGAGATGTATCTTACATATCTTCAAACTATCCAGTGCCGAGCTCCGCTGCATAACAAAAGTCTGAGATTGAACATTCTATGAAAGATGAAGTGTGCCAGTTTTCAAGGTGATCGAGATCATCAATATCATTGACTGGTTATGAACAATATCAAAACCAGTCAATTCTCAATCGATTCGCCTATGACTCACAAGACAATCCTATGATTGATGGTCTATGAACGAGATCAATCTCTGTTTTCTTGAAGACATTCAAATCCAAACATCAACTGCTTTTGATCGGTAAAAACTAATCCCCCATCCTTTGTTCCTATGGAAGAGATTGTGGACAATCTCAGCTCTCTTATGTAATCTAGAGACTCATTTTTTTCATCAAGATCAAAATTGATCGATTTGCCCGTGATCTATGAAGAAGATTGAAAGGATTTCAATTTTTACACCAATTTTATCTAGAATTCATTGATCTACTTCCTACATGTACAATGACAATCTTCTCTAACGACAGTTCATCCTTTCTAGACAATCAAGCTTGTTAATGAGGAAAACAAAGTGATTGACCGGGATTTGGAGAATATGAATTTTTTTGGCGGCAGCTGGGAAATCGATGGGATGGATGGGTGCTCACACCACAGCCCACAGCACCCCAAAAATTTTCTCTCTGCTGCGTTGTGACTGCTGCGGCGGATTCTGGGTCTACATTCTGTTTTATTTTTTCTCGATCGGGCCAAACTTTTTAGCAAAAGTAATAGAGATTGAGAAAAGAAGCTTTTTGTCATGTAAATGCTGCTACATGTGTGTATGTAAGCGCAAAATCCAAATTTCACACCATTTTCTTTGTTTCCTTATAACTTTTTCACTAATCATCTGTTACCATTGATTTAAAGGTTCTACACTATGAAAAGTATTCTGTGTCTAATGAACTATCACTCATCCTGATCTGCCAAGTTTTGACATATGTGATTAGCTAAAAACCTTCAATTTTGATGGATTTTGACCATTTTCACCACTTTTCTCACCTGATATTGATTTCTCTTCTATCAACAGATCATCCGGAATCAATTCAATCATAAGAATGACTATAGAGTTAATTTGTAAAAATCTTGGCGCCATAAATCCCTCAATGACATCACTACACAGGAATTAATCCTGTAGTACCCTTGTTTACCATCCTCAAAATTCCTTCTTTCTTGAATAACTTCAGTCCTCCCTTATCAATTCCAATGATTAAAGCTGTTGATGAATAATGTGACCTTCCTGTTTCATAATACAACCTCTGTTAACCTTTAACTCCCATAATAATAACCTAAAACCCATTTTCCAATCTCTATACCTATATTTTTGACTTTTGTATGAATTTCTTCTTCTTTCTTCTTTCTGATAATGTTTAAATAGTTTTAGATTGAATAACTATAGTGTAAATAATTGATGATGGCATAAGATTGATTTATATTCAATGAGAAATGAGATAGTATGAATATGAAACAAAACCCGCTTTGGCCCTAAAGACTTCAATTCTCCTAATAATGATATGATTTTTGGATTTTTCTTGATTGACCCTATAAATTGATTACCACACTGGGTTTTTGAAACCCCTGTTGAGCTTTGAACCTGGCTATTGTATATCAATACCCAGTTCATCAGTGTTACCCCACACCACAAGCAACTTCTTCTCCCCCATGACTCAAGTTGACACTAGGATAGGGGGCAACACCTAAACCAATACAACACAGATGTTGGTATTGTATTGGTTTTGTATTGGCAATCTGACACAAAAAGTCAGATTTTCTCATATCAGTTCAGCCGACCCAACATGTGGAGCACCTTTTTCATGTTGGGTATTGGCAATACAATAGGGGTTGGGCGAAAAACTGGTCAACCAGTTTTGCCAATTTGAGAAGTTTGTAGAAGAGAGTTGAAACGAGTGCAGGTTTCACAGATCAAGTGGGTACCATTGAAATCATCTCAAATTGCATCAGAGCTGCGCATTGAGGGAGGTTAGGCAATACCTGGGTAAGTTTCTGATAGAAAAGTTGAAGCCATAGATGTGTGAAAGGTCAAAAGTCTCATTTGTGTGGCTTGTAGTGGCACAAATTGCTTTTCATTTTTATATTGGTTGGGCTTTGGAATGATCAAGAACACCTCTCACCAGTCTCCTTTTGGTGATTATTTTGCAAAGCAAAACAAACGACCAGTTTTTTTGTTGGCTTTCATATTGTTTTAGCGATTGCTGAAGAATTTTCCTGAGCATTCGTAAAAAATTAAATTACAACTCAATGGACTCAGAAACTGGTTGGTCGGTTTTTTGCCCAACCCCTAATATCCAGGCTTGAACCAACATGAGATCGCCTCATAAAAATACTGCTTTGAACCCCAATTGCAGTTGAAATTGCACTTTTGCTACAAATTCCATGTTGTATTGGCTTGTATTGTTTGGCTATACAATATGAGCTGAAAGTTTTTTTGGTCTTCATATTGTATCAGGTATTGGTTCAGATATGTCGGTCCCCCAATGCGACATGCAAAGTGTCCAAAAAGTTGCATTGTATTGGATTGGTTTGGGCATTGTAGGGGGTTAAGAAGGGGGATCAAATGCCTGCTCATCTCTGTTGTGAAACCACAAGAAGTTCTTGAGTCTAGATGACTCATACCTCATCCACTGAATGCCTTGATTTGGTGTGCAAAGCATATAGGTGTGATAGAGTAGAGGGTCACTGCTTCCTTTAGGTAGACACAATGCCTAAAGGTGATTTAACTAATGCAGAATAACAAATATTCAAGCAAACAGTTACACAAGAATATCCAAAATCTTAAAGGATGGATAACAAAAAAAAATTGAAGGTATCAAAAAAAATGGGGAAGTGTTGACCTCCTGACCTCAAACATTCAACAAATATCCTTGCTCTGACTAGATGGCCGTATCTCCAAGGTGAATTAGTCTCTCTCTTATTTAACTTGTTTAGTTAGTGTTACATGCAATTAGAGCAATTCAGCACTTAAAACAAACTGATTGAAGATCATTTCTCTTTGATTTCATGTGACTTCATTCATTGTGTAAAGAAGAAACTCTTGAAACTCTTGAAATACATCAAATCTAAAGATCTTAAACATTTTCATTAATCCTTCTAAACAATCCAAACAAGATAATCCATCAAAATAATCCTTAATAACATTTTTACTTTTAAATCAAACCCAATCTGAACAAGCAGGAACAAGCCCAAAAAACAGTAATCTGTACTACATATCAAAGTATCAAATCAAAACACAAAGAAAAACACATATATACAAAAACTTGGTTATAATTTATACACTTTGAGTTTTTTTAATCTCTCATTCTAGAAGGGATAAATCGTTTAATTACAACTTCTTTAATAGAATATAATTTTAAACAATCATTTGGATTTTTTAAATGATTTGAACTACATCTTTGATATGAAGGAATGATCACATAAGCCAACACAAGTGTCTACAAAACCCACCAGAAATGTTAAGATTAAGCAAGAGTGAGTATAAAGAAAGAAAGAAAGAAAGAAATGTGTGTGTGTGGTTTGGTTTGATATTCTAGAATGAAGCTTACTTTTTTGACACCTGAACAAACTCGATTGACAGTTGAAAGCCATTTCCAATTCTTTTTTTGATTAGATAAATCTGATTGATGAAGTTCTTCTTGATCATTAGGATCTTCATACACAGGTATCACACAAACCGCAAACCTAAGCAGGAAAATCCGGCCAACCAACCGAGACAAAAAACACATCATTTTCAATGACTTAAAACTCAGAAAACAAACGATCCAAAAAGACTTACTCTGCATGACCTCCTACTGGACCACGAGATCCATAAAGTACCCAATCCACACAAAACTTAATCCCATCTCTTACTACCCATCCTAATGATCTGAAATGATGATATGTAACATAGGAGACTATAAATGGATTATCTGGTTTTCTTTGAGAATCTCGATCAGCATTCGAACAAAACGTTTCCCATAATTCATTAATACTGAACCATTGTTTCTAGAGGAAGAAGAAGAAGAATCATGTTATTGTTTGTTTTGATTTAACTTTGATGGAATGAGAATGAAAACTTACATTTTCTGGTTTGGAAACCACTTCATCTGTTTCTGAGACTTCTTTTTCGATTTGTAAACAACCTATTCCATATGAAAGAAAAAATGCATCTTCTGGTTTGAGTTGTAAATGTTCAAGATTGACAATCGAATCTAGTTCTTCTAAAAGTTCGATTGGAAGGATCATCTCTGATGGTTTAGTTCGATTTGGTTTGATGTTTTGATGTTCGATTTGATCAGTTTCTTTTATGATTTCTTCTTTGATGTTTAGAGATTGGATTTCTTCAATGGGTGGATCGATCTTTTCGATTTCTTCATTCACTTCAATTCCTTCTAATCTCATTTCTTTTTCTTTTTCTCTTTCTTTTTCTTTCGCTTTTTCAATTTTAGCTTCTCTTCTTTCAATTCTTCTCTTAGCCGTTAATTCTTCAGCCGTAAGTTTAACTAAACCAAAACAAAGAAAGAATCATTAATCCTTTCTCACGAAACACTCCCCCTGGGTTTTTTTTTCTTCGATCAAAGATTCATTTAACTTACGACCATGATCAGATTGTAATACATTTAAAGCATGTCTATTCTTAGCTCTTTGTAACCAAGTAGGTTCACTTCTCGAAAGATTACCTTTCCCAAAAAATCCACATCTCCAAAGTATTTGAAACTGATGATCTCCAGTGACTGAGATCTGATTAGAAATCGAATCTAATTTTCCATAAATGATTTGATGAGAAGATGTGGTAGATTGATTAGAGAACCAAAGATGTGCTTTTAAATAAGTGAATGGATGATATGTGTTTGAAGTGCTTAGATTGATGGGTAATAAGTTTGAATATATGTTGGGTGCTTTTATTTTTTTTGGTTTTGATTGAATTGATTCTGATTTAGTGATCGGTTTGTTGGTGTTGGTGTTGGTTGTTGTTGTTGTTGAACTCATTTTGCAAAAGGTTTAGAGAAAGCAAAGCTTGATGGTAATAAACTGTCACAGAACTTTACGAGCGGAGATATCAATAAGAATCACATGGATGATATGATAAGTTACAGTTGAATGACATCCCGATCGGAAAAAGAGTGAAATGTAACCCACAAGTTGAACCAAAAGAAATTATCAAACAGCATTGGAGTACTACTACTACATACTACCATTGCCAACCAGGAAGTTCAATTTGATGAAAACACCGAACAAATGAATCAAGAAACCAATTTAAACGAATTAAGTGCAGTAGCAGCCAGAAGATTAGGATTATCTACGCCAAACCAATCAACTTCAAAACAACAAGACTTTCATTCAATCAACTCAAACCATTCAAACTCAGAACAAGAAACTGACGATCAAGAAGAAGAAGAAGCAGAAGAAAATCATGATGATCCAAATGAACAAGAAATCGAAAAACCGAAATCAAAGAAATCGAGATACTTTACAAACCCATCAGATTCTCAAATAACACATCAAAATCAAACACCAATATCGAAAAACTCAACCCATTTACCTTTATCTGCTAGTACATCTAAAACTAGAAACCATCAACAAATCAAACGTAAAAAAACTAGAGCTACTTTTTCAGATCCTGATTGTGTTTCAAATTGGGAACCTAATTGGTCTAACAGTCATGAAAAAAATGTAATGATTAAGCGAAATAATGGGAATAATCAATCTGTTCTCATTGGAATCAATTTAGGAGAAGTAAGTTACTTCATTTTGATTTGAGTTTCAATTCAAAATTTGATGGTTTCTTTCTTCTTTGGTAGAGTTTGATTTTTAGAGGTACACTTTTATTGAAGGTTTTAATGGGTACAATTGAAATCAATGGGGCAAGAATCAAAGCAGAAGAAACCAATGAACCCACCGAGATCTTCGCACCCATTAGTCATCCATTACCGATTCTAACCACTCTGAAATCTACCTCCTCACCCTCAGCAATAATCCAACCAGAAACCGGTTTGAATGAATCGAATTTTGATGCGATTATAGAAATTCAAGATTTCCATACAGGTATAGAAGGAATTGATTTAGTATGGTCATCAAATGAACCCAAAAGACCTATATGGAACCATTCAAGTTCAAAGCAACCTTTGGAAACCTCAGTTTATGGTATCACATGGGACATCATCTTAACTTTAACAGCTGATATCTCATCTATAAAACTTCCCAAAACATGGTCGAATTCCTTATCGAATCAACCGTCTTCAAACCCAACCACCACCACCAAAAGCAATGAATGTTATTTAGTTCAAGGACCGAAAGGAGTAGGAAAAAGTACATTTCTTCGACTTTTACTTAACAAACTCTTACAAAGTTATGAACAAGTAGCTATTTTAGATTTAGATCCAGGACAACCTTTGTTTACTTCACCTTCATTGATCTCATTGAATTTGATTAATCAACCTTTGATCGGTCCTTCATTTTGTTTTCAATCTATACTTCAAAGTTCATTAAGATCTTATTATCTTGGAAACATCTCTCCAATCGATTCTCCTCAACGATACCTTGAAAGGTTAGAAGATTTAATTAATTTTTATAAACTTGAATTTCATGAATTTAATAATCTTGAACCTGTCTTACTGACCAAACGTCAACGTCGGAAGTATGAAGAAAGTTTAAACCATCAAGTTGATTCAATCCAAGTGAAGAGTACGGGAAAATGTTCAGATAGGGTGCCTCTTTTGGTCAATACAATGGGTTGGACAACTGGTTTAGGATCCGAACTTTTAAGTAAAATTCGTGAACTTGTGAATCCTAGTACGATCTTCACATTCGAATCTCAAGAAACATTTCAAGCAAATGAGAATAATGAAGAGAATCCGAGCATACAATATCTAGAACCGATTGGAGATACACCACTTTCACTTAGATTACCATCAAATGAATCAAGAACCTTAAACTTGATTTCATACTTGTATTCATCAAACTCCACTCCGATTTCACAAACAGATCGAAATACCAAGTTTTTTAGGAAATGGGATTTCGAAAACCAACTTTATAAACAAAGACCAATGATCATCAATCATAAAGAACTTTCCATCGATTTATTCGAAGAAGAGATACCTGAATCTCATTTATCGTATGTACTAAACGGATCGATTGTTGCAATCCTTTCAAATCATCATGAATCCAATTGTTTAGGATTAGGATTAGTTAGATCATTTGATCAATCTCATGGGATCCTTTATTTAATTCTTCCAGAAGGCTTTGGATCGAATGATGAAAAGTTTAAGATCTGTAAAGGATTTGAACCTTGTTTACCTTTGAATTTATTAGTTTATGAACATGAGGATCATCAGATTAAACCGTATTTAGAAATCAGGAATCTTGGAATCGGTCATTCAAATCTATTGGTTGGGTTTGAGAAGAAAAGAGTTAGGAGGAATGTAATGAGATGGTCTCAAAGAGGAAATTAAAGTTTGTGATCATCTTTTTGTTTATAGATACATATATATATATTAGATCAACTTGGAATTGTACCCCCCTTTGAAACTTCGAAACGTGGATTATAGTCATAATTTCATCGGTTGCAAAGGATAAATGGACATGAAAACATACCCCACATTCAGATCACCAGAGATTAGACCTACAGATGCACCTACAGCTCATGCTGACAGTTGAGATTGCACCCACAATATAAAAACCCCTGCTTCTTCCCATGAATAACCCCCAATCTTTTACCACAATACAAAATGACACACATTTGTATGTATTTTCATCTGGAGAAAAATTTTAATTTTTCGAATGAAAATCTCATCTCTTACAAAAAATGATTTGGTATCATGAACGAAAATGAAACTGAACAAGGTATACAACATTGAAAGATCAACGCACAACAGAATACATGTACTTTCTAATAATAAGAGCTTCTATCATCACGACTGTTATAAGGATAAGAATTCACCTGTGAGGGTGAAGAGCGTTGTGCATTGTAATTAGTACAATTATCTTCAAGATATCTGTCATTAATATATGATAGTGGATAAGAATCTTGTGATTTGATCGAAGGATGATGATAAATACTTTCATTATAATCTTCTTGGCCATAAGCCATATAATCAATTACTCCTCTTCCATAAATCTTCCTGAGATCTGATCTTTGATAAATTTCATCTTTAAAATAAATAGATTTTTTAGATTTCTTTCCGATTCTTAAATTCAATTCATCTTTATTAAATAAGATCCCATTTCTTTTTTCATTATAACGATAAGGAAGATCGAAATCTTCTGGTTGATTTCGATTTGGAATTTTATAGAAATCGATTTTTTGATTTGAAGTTAAATTTGGATTTTTATAATAATCATGATAGTAACCATTTTGATAACCATAATCATCTGGTGTATGTCTTGAATGAAGATTAGAATGATGATGAGAAGATTGATTTATTGGTGGTAAGGTAGATTTTTCATAAGAACAAATTCCTCGACAGAAAAATGATTCAGACGAGTCTCTTGATTTCTTTCGTTTCAATAATCCAAAATGATTGATTTTACCCATTTTCGTGATAAAAATGAATTGATTGTTGAAAAGATATTTGTCTAGAAGAGAAATCAGATAAGAGAGGAAATAATCTTGATTAAAGTTTTTGTAGAAGTGATGAACTTTCGATCAAAGTCTCTCTAAATACCTCATCAGGAAACTGGCGATTAGGAAAGTAATTCATGAGTCGAATAGTTTTGTTGAAGCTCAGATTGCCATTGAAGAGCAGGTCATGAACAGACATGAACAAGCCAGCTACTGAAGATCATAAGCCGCTTTTGTCAAAGTGATTCCTCAGTGTTAAGGATGATGAGGAGTGAAGAGTTCAGTGATATAATTGATTTTCATGTTCATTTCACTCACGTCGTATCAAAGCACCAAGTTCAAACCCTTTCATGGACTTCGTTGCCTCTGATCCCTTCACTGAACTTGACTTGGTTTCATTGGGATCATTGGTAGTTCAATAAACTTATCAAAGTCCCTCCCTCACGAGAGTCGAGAAGTATGACTTTACCCGCAGGTCCCACCCTCGACTACTCGCGAGAGAGGGAAATTGATCAGTTTGGTAGTCAAACATGAGTTACCCTTATTGTGCGCATTCAGCTCAAGATGTTCGATATATATCTTCCCAATCTTCGATATCGGTTCAGTCTGAATTGTGTATAGTCACTCTGCTACATATCAGCCGCTCTATCAAGCTACCTCGTTAGCAGTTTGATTCAAGTGTTAATGAGAAGTCAATATGGCATGTTCTGTCTTCCAGATCAAGACACATGGTGCAATTGAGGCTTATGATTGGAATTCCATGAGTACTTTTGATTCTTGATAACCAGTTATGAGAATGTGATTCATGCAAAGCCAATCAAGTAGTTTCATAAGCTCTTTGAAAATCTTTACTATAGTTTTCCTAAATTGACTATATAGGTTCATTCAGTTCAAGAAAGTATATTTTCTTTGGGTTTCTTGAATTTTGAAAACCTCGAAAACATTTTTCATCTTTAAAGAATGAATGATCATCATGTATTTATTAAGGAAAAGATAAAAATATCTTTCGGGATGTCATATGCATGCGAAAATAAACAAATAATCGAAAAAAAGAGTGTACAAGTATTACTAGAACGATTTACTGACGAATGGATAACAAGAGCAATGAAAAGAAGTGAAATGTTTAAAAAACTAGAATGTTTGAAAAAAGCGAATCAAGTTCAAATGATAGTCTTGCAACCCCCATTCGTGTTCAAATATTCAAAGAGGATCAATCATCGGACTTTGAAGGCATTACTGATCCATATAAATTGTTTCTTGAGTTGACTTGATAGGAGTTTACCGTATCGAAGAACCGATCGAATTCTAACTTGAAGTGGATCGTTTCTCGGCCACGTCACGGAACCACCTAGATAGGTTTTCGTAAACGACAAACGTCACACACGTACCGGGGAGTACCCGAACCGCATTGGTGCCCAAACCTTTGTAAAAGGCTTTAAAACCCTCAGTTCGGTAAGTATGTGTGATGCAGTGAGGAATGGAGTGATAATGTGTAGTTGAAGGATTTGCTGTTGATTCGAGAATACGGCGCGCTGAAGAAAGATACATCTGACTCTTTTGGATTTCAAAGGGTTGTAGATTTATTAGTAAAGGAAGCTGGTGATATTTGAGTATGTCAGATAGGGAACCAACTTGTAGTCGAGACCTCACAACTTGATATGGATAAGTGATGCCTATGGCCAACAGCTTAGCTGCCCCACTCAAGATCACATACTCAATATTCGACTATCAAACCGGAAAAATTATATTAGTTCAGATTGAGTAAGAGCTAATAAGACAATATGAAAGACAACGTACCAAAGCGGTAGGATCATCTTCACCAATCGAAGCATAAGCTATTCCACTCTTCTGTCTCCTGACCTCTTGTCTCCATTTCTTCAGTTCTTCATATGTCATAAATTGAATTGCTCCGTTAGAAACTCCAACAAGTGCTAACACACTGCCTTTCCAAAGTCCTCTAGCTCCTTCTTCTTTGGATATCCTTATCAGTCCGTCTGTTCAGATTGCAAAGCCTTCCCCAAAAAGATGAGGTATACAAAAGGCACAAAGCTGATTAGTCTCATGCCCAGACTCTTCAGTTGACATATCTTTACTAGGTGCCGAAATCTTATGTAAATAGAAAATGACAGCAACTCACCCAATACACTTGTATAGGCACCCGGAGAATGAACCTGAGTGGTAAACATCCTTGTCTTGACTACCCATATCGGATTTGTCATCATCGCAGTGATCACCCCAGAGGAAGCTGAGGCGAAAAGATGCTGTGCGGCTGAAAGTTTGACACCAGTTTCGGAACCATCTGCACCGGTAGACATACGTTTTTTGATAGTCGAGTACCTATTTACCAAAAATACACGTGTTATAAGTTCTCGATATACATGTGAATAGGACTTCATCGGGATTGAACTACTACATACCACAAAAAGTAAAGTCCCCAACTAGCTGCATTCCCTACCATATTTGGACTCAATCCACGATACAAACCTTTCCATCCATCAGACCGTACAATTTCACCGAGGCTTGCGAGTATCTTTGGTCGCGTCGATGGTGTTGAAGCGATAGAACTAACTTGAGATAAAGTACTTTTTAGATGAACTGGTGAAGTGGCTACTTGAAATTTCACTTTGAGTAAATCAAGAGGATGCATGCAAAGAACCGAAGTACATCCGGCTCCAATTCCACATACGGCTTGATCCTAGAACATATGGAAAAGGGTAAGAAGTTCGTCAGTTTATAGGTTGCAATCGCCACATCGTATTTCATTGGATGTACTAACAATAGCTTGTGAACCAAAAAGTGCAGCTCGAGAGTGTCCCCGAGAGTTTTCTGGCATTGGTAAATCCTGATAATTCGGTTGAGATTGAGGGAATGAATCTGTTGGGCCACTGACGCTAAAACTTGATGATATAAAATTTTGAAGTGGTGCTTTATGACTGGGGGACAATTTTTGTGGCATCGAGCCGTAAGTCGTAACGAAGATATCCCGTTACTCGGTACCGTCACACTACGCCCGAAATTAGTCAAGGGTCGAGTGATGGTATTGTGGGGGTGGCGCAGGACCCCGGAAAGCTCCAGGGAAAGTATCCGACCTAAAACCACCCCAATTGACCTTTTCAATACCCTTTGACGCGGTAAAAACCCAAAAATCGAGCTTAAACAATTCCTTAGCTTAACTAAGCCCCTCGCGCGGCCGCGTCCGCGCCCTCGAAAGAGGGGCTTATGACTAAAACGGTTTTTTTGGCTGTGTGACTCCACGTTTTAACACTACAAAGAATATAATAGGGGTTCTCAAAGTTGGCCCGGTTTCAAGAAAATCCAGTTGACCCGGTTGCTTTTTGGCAGTAACCTTGTGTATTGAGTTGTCTTTTTTTGACAGATCACAGCCAAAAAGTCAACTGGGTCAACCGGGTTTTTACAAACCGGGTCTACTTTGAGAACCCCTAATGTTTTCCGGGCAGAAAACGCAAATATTGATATACAAAAATATTGAGCGGTGAGGAGGAGGGCAAAAAATACAAAAAAATATGGCTGTTGTTCCTGGTGTTGAGAGCTTCAATCTGAGTAAAGCTGTGTTTTTTTAATTTTTGTTTTTTTCATTTTTATATTAAATTTTGTGTGTGGCTCAGTTGTGGGAGGGATAAATAGGGTTTATAAAGTGTGAATATCCTTGTACGGGGTAAATTAGGTTTACGGGAAACTTGTAAAGGCGGAAGTGTTAAGAATTGTCCTACGTAATTTTTTCGTAGAATTTCTTAGGTGAAG